TAGTGCTGAGAAATGCTGAGGCAACATCAACATTTAACCCATTCCCCCTTTTTAAAATGATTCTAATGTGCTCTGACACGTTGAAGCTCAGTTTAAAGCCATGAGTAGATAAAGTCTCACCATGTTCTTATGACTGTTTCTATTACTGGGGACATAGGCACCCACCAAACCCCTTGCCTCATTCTAGAGAGATGATCATTTAACAGACTCCTGCAGGTTTAATTGTGGCAGGTACTACTCTGCCACGTGTTTGTGATGCAGTCAGTGCTCTGCTGCCATGGGCAGTTGTGACCAGCCACAGGCTCCATGTGCCAGACCCCATCCAGGGGGCTGAAAGCTCTGCTGTCCCTGGCTCTCACCTGGGAATTGTACTGTCTTGCAGAGTCTTGCATGACTTTGTCCTCACAGCCAGCCTTACCTGCAGTTCCTTTGAACATCGAGACAGCTCATCGGAGGTGTGCTGGAGAATTTACTTATCCATGTCTGGCCATAGAGGGCAGAGTCCCCTGGAACCAGCTGACATGCAGCAACTTAAAAAATACAGCCCCATGTCTTCCAGGTGCCTTCAGCACAGAAAACAGTGGAACATCTATAGGAACGTTGCCAAATCTCTGTACATACAGTAAATCAAAGAAATAGCAGCATTCTAACGGTATGACAGGGAAATATGTCAGCAAACCAAAATAATTGCCTTTTTACTTCCAGTCCTCACCATTTTCTCCTTCCACAGCCCTTGCAGCGTGTCTGGGCTGGTCCAGACTTGGCAGGTTCTTGTGCTCCTGTGCAGAGGGTGTCCAGGCTGAGCACAGCTGCTGATCCTCAGTGCAGGATGGGGGAAGTCAGGGGTTTCTGGGAAAAGCACCCATTAATTTATGCTTCTTTTTCTTTCTCGAAGCAGCAGAGGCGGCGAGGCAAAGGGAACGAAGGTGTCTATCAGGTAAGCAACACACCCAGCACCTGCTCCCCTCATCTGTCTTCATGACTTAATTGTAGCCTCTAGTTCCCCATCTTCTCACCACGCTGTTAATGACGTGATGAAGCAGAGCTTTCAAAGCCCCTTTCTGAGGATAGTTACTCAGATTCAGGGCAAAGACCACACTGCTGGTGCTTTGATAAAGTGGCTGCATGTTCTAAATACAACTGGCAGGAACACTTGTTTGGCTGCTCTGGTAGGAACCATTTCCACAGTCCTACATCTTGGAGAACCACCTTTTGACTGCAGCAGATAACACGTAGAGTTCTCTCTCTGAATTGTTTATTGTTTAAATGGAAACCTTCAGGTTGCCAAGTGGCTGTTGTAACTCAAAGCATCAATGGTTCAGCCCATCTTGTGATAACCTACAGAGCTCCAACTGGTCAGCACCTCCAGTCCCTTGGTACACTGAGGGGGTTGCTCAGAGTCCGTGGGAAAGGCTTTATTTGGGCCACAAGGATAATTGTTCCAAAATGCATTTTGCTTTCTATAGAAGCCTGTACGTTGTCACCGACATCTCAAGGAATGACAAAAATAAAATTCAAATTAATAAGTTCTTCTGATGCAGCACAAGGCAGGGAGTGTTCCTGTAAGGTGACTTATTTGTAGCTAATGGTGCCTTTCTTCAAAGCCTGCTCCGCTGATTGTCACAGGTAGCTGGTAAGAAGCAGTGTACTCGGTGTGCTGCTAAATACTCCGAGCAGAGGGAAGGGTGGCTACAAGTTTCACAAGCAGGCACCATGTGTCTTACTAAATCCTCACTCTTGGAAGCCCTGGTTACCTCTGCTCTGCCAGCCTCCTGGGCTGACCTGTGACTGCCACATCTGCTGCTGCCTTTCTCCTGTAGTAGCTGGTTCCACAGCTGCAGCAGGGAGCTGTAACTCACCCCTCACAGCCGACTTACCCCACCAGAGCAGCCTGCAGGAGAAGCACCCCCGTGTCACAAGAAGGGGCGTGAGGGGACGCTCCCCAGGGTTCACAGCCACCTGGAACCCTGCTGCCAGCTTACCTGGAGTTGATCTGGCTTCCCTTACAAATGGCAGAGGAGAATTCTAGAGAACAAGGTCCATGATTTGATGTCTGTTCATTTAGTTAGCAGACAAAGTTCACTCTACCATCAGATAGCAATTAATAATCAATAATATGCAAATAAAATGTACTCTAAAGATCTACAGTTACAATGAGTTGCTGTAGTCGTATGTTCATCGCAGTCATTCAGGATGCGTTTTGCCTTCAGGTAAGTGACACCTATTGACACCCTACAAAGATGAAGGAAACACTTGAGTCAAAAGCCTCTCTAGAAAAAAAAATAAAAATAAAATAATGCTCCTGAGTCCTTGTTCCTGACCAGTCATCTGGAGAGACCTGAGCCCTCCCGCTGGCACCTCACCTGCTCTTCTCTT